CAGGCTCTTAAAAAGGCTATTACCACGGCCCCTGCTCTAGCCCTACCCGACCTTAAGAAACCCTTCCAACTCTTCGTGGCCGAGGCTCGAGGTATAGCGAAGGGAGTTTTAACCCAGACTTTTGGGGCCATGGAGACAGCCGGTTGCATATTTATCAAAACGACGAGACCCAGTGGCGGTGGAGTGGCCCACTTGCATGAGGGCCATCGCCGCGACAGCGGTCCTGGTGAAAGAGGCTAAGAAACTGACCCTGGGCCAGGACCTCCAAGTCACTGGGGCGCACGCCGTGGAAACCCTCCTCCGCAGCCCTCCAGATCGGTGGATCTCCAACGCCCGAGTGACTCAGTACCAGGTACTTTTATTAGACCCCCGCGGGTCACCTTTTCCAAAGCAGCGGTCCTTAATCCAGCGACCCTACTGCCAGACGATCAACCCGAGAGTCCCACACGATTGTGCTGAAATCCTCGACTCCCTGACCGGCACCAGACCAGACCTGACGGACGTTCCGCTAGGACAGCCAGCCCTCAATTTGTTTACAGATGGGAGCAGTTTCGTCAAAGATGGGATTCGGTATGCGGGAGCAGCGGTAGTCACCAGTTCTGAGCACAGGCTCTGGGGCATGGCACATCAGCACAAAAGGCAGAACTTGTCGCCCTGACACAAGCTCTTCGGTGGGGGAAGGAAAAACCTCTCAACATTTATACGGACAGCCGATACGCTTTCACCACGGCTCATATCCATGGAGCACTATATCAGGAGCGAGGGCTGTTAACCTCTGGAGGGAAGGACATCAAGAATGCAAATGAAATTATGTCCCTCCTAGAAGCCCTTTGGCTGCCTGAACGAATAGCTATAATTCATTGCCCTGGGCATCAACGGGATGGCTCGGCGGTCTCGCGGGGAAATAACTTTGCGGATAGAACCGCAAAGGAGGCTGCCATGAGACCAGTAGGGGCTCTCGAAATTCTCTCGGTCCAGATGCCGGCACGGGCCCTCCCGGACCGACCAAACTACTCGAAGGAGGATATCGAGCTGGGCAGGAAGTTGCAGTGCTCGGAGACTGAGGCGGGATGGTTGAAACATCCCGATGGAAGGATCTTCCTTCCCCAAGCATTGGGGCGGGATCTTCTTCTCCAGACCCATCGAGCCACACACTTGGGAATGGCCTGACTCTGTCAGCTATTCAGACCCCATTTCTACCTGCCCGGACTATCGACTCTGGCCGATTCCATAACCTCCGGGTGTGCCTCCTGTGCGAGAGTTAATGCTGGTCCTAGCCGGCCCTCTATCACCCCGGGCGTTCGCCATCGCGGATCCCAGCCAGGAGAACACTGGGAAATAGACTTTACTGAGGTAAAACCTACCCAAGGTAGGTATCGCTATTTACTGGTCTTCATCGACACCCATTCCGGGTGGGTCGAAGCGTTCCCTACAAAGGGAGAGACAGCCTTGACTGTTGCCTGGACTCTCCTGCATCAAATTTTACCCAAATTTGGCGTACCCCTAGCTCTGGGTTCAGATAATGGTCCGGCGTTCATTGCCCAAACTTCCAAATTGGTAGCTAAAGCTCTAGGAATTGATTGGAAGCTGCATTGTGTGTATAGACCACAGAGCTCAGGACAGGTAGAGAGGATGAACAGAACATTAAAAGAAACCTTAACAAAATACACTCTTGAAGTTGGCGGCCCCTGGACAGACCTCCTTCCGTTTGCCCTCCTACGCACGCGATGTTCCCCTTATAGGAACGGTTTCACACCCTTTGAAATTATATTCGGGCAACTGCCCCCCCTGCTCCCCCGCCTGGCGGAGGAAACGCGCGCCGAGTTGTCTAACCGCAACTTGCTTGAGTCCTTGCAGGCCCTCGATCGCATCCGATACGATATCCGCTGCCAGGTTCAGTCCAACATGGGCGGGACTACCAAGGCTCCGGAGCCCACGGCCGACCCTCCCCCACGCGTAAACCCAGGAGATTGGGTCTGGCTAAAGAACTTTCACCCTGTTACACTAGGTGCCCGGTGGCTAGGACCCTTCCAGGTGATCCTCTCCACTCCCACGGTGGTAAGACTGGCCGAAAAACCCCACTGGATCCACGTGACACAGAAAAAGCCTGCTTCGCCAGTCCTCTCGGAAAAATGGACGGTGCACCAAACCGGAAACCCTCTGAGGGTCAAGTTGAAAAGGGTCCCTTCTGGGCAGCCTTCCTGATTCTTCTCGCCCGCCCAATAGGCTGTCCTCGGCCAAACCCACACCAGCTACTTACCATGGAATGGACATTGCGGACTGATTGGCAGGTCTCCCCGCCAGTAGCAACCATCCTGACTCACACCCACGATGCCTCCCCGGACTTCTGCATAGATCTCTGCCAACTCTTTCTGCCCAGGTGGACCAACCCGGGCCTCCTCTCGGTGGACACAATAGGGGGGGAATGCCTGTTCTGGGGTCATGGGTGTAAAACTGATACCTTAGCAAAGAAACTATCGCAGGAGCAATATTATGGCTGTCCATCGGATGGGAGCCCCGCGTGCGGTGGCGCGCCCAACTTCTACTGAGCCCGATGGGGTTGCGAAACTTTCTCTACCTGGTTGGAAGGCCAAGATAAGGATTCTTGGCTCGCGGTAAGAAGGATGCATGCCGGCCAAGCGAGGACCGGCAAACATAACCCCCTGAGCATCAAGATAAAACGAGGCAGGGAGGATTCTTGGATAAAACATAAAATCTGGGGGCTGCGCTTGAATCTGTACGGTCCTGATCCGGGCATACTTTTCACGGTGCAGAAACGGGTTATCTCACGACCCTGGGGCCTGGTGGGACCTAACCAGGCCCTCCCCCGCCCTCAGATCCCTACTCAACGCATCCCTGACGCTCACACACAGCGTGCTCCGGTCCGGGCTGCTGGCCGACCCTCATCCAGCCGCTCATTTACACTAGTACCCGCAGTTTTTGAAGTCCTCAACAGGACCAATCCAAACATTACCGAGACCTGTTGGTTATGCCTGAGTCCTCAGCCGCCTTTTTACATGGGAGTGGGAGTAAATGTGTCTTTTTCTGCCCTTGCTAAGATCTCCTACTCGGAAAACTACTGGAGTGCCTGCCCGTGGGGGCTCCACCCCTCTATAACATTAGAGGAGTTCTCAGGTCAAGGGGCCTGTGTCACGGGTCCCGATGGGCCCCGCAATGATCCACGATGTGCTGCTACCTTACTCCTTACCCCCACAGCACGCCCCTACCTCCTAGCAGCCCCGAATGGGACTCTTTTCGCCTGCCGATCAGGCCTCACCCCGTGCATTTCCTCCACCCTTTTCCTAAAACCCACCGGTCCTGCGGCTACACCAGCTCCTCAGTCGGATCTTTGTATTCTTACTCTCGTGCTCCCGAAGGTTTTTCTTGCCGACGGAGATATGACCCCCGGGGCTGCTTCCCCAAATTCGCGCGTCCGGCGCGCTATGCCCCTCCTCGCTCCTCTTTTAGCTGGGCTGGGCATCGCAGGCTCAGCAGCAGTCAGGGCTGGCGCCTTGATAAAAGGCAGCCAAGATATATTCCACCTCTCTGAACAAGTGGATAAAGACTTGCAGGAGCTTCATGGCTCCATCAAGTTCTTGGAACGATCCCTTGACTCCTTCGCTGAGGTAGCCCTTCAAAACAGGAGAGGACTAGATTTACTTTTGCTGAAACAATGAGGCTTATGTGCTGCCTTGGATGAGAAAGGCTGCTTTTATGCAAATCACTCAGGTATCATCCGTAACAGTCTAGACCTAGTAAAAGCCCGCCTAAAGGACCGAGAAAGGCACCACCAGGAAGGTTCCAACTGGTATCAGCGCCTTTTTAACTGGTCCCCCTGGCTGACAAGTCTGCTCTCTTCCCTTGTTGGACCCCTTTTAGGGTTACTGTTTTTTCTTATCGTCGGGCCCCTTCTGCTCAGTTGGATCACCCGCCTTGTCCAGCAGTGTATGAACGCCACGAAAGTGCTGGCATTTCATGTCAGGTCTCATCTGGGGCAGAGTAATGTTTACAAGCTCCGCCCACTAACGGTCCACAGACTTGATGATTCGACTCCCCAAAAGACCAGTAGGGAATGTTGTAACCCCCCTCATGATCAAGTACGTAGCCAGGGCATGGCTCATCACGAGTAAAAAGCATGGTCAGAGTGTCCTGTTCGCATGAGAACAAGAACACAAACATGGATGTGCACGCTACGCAAAGCTGACAACAAAGCAGGCTACGCTCCAGCATTACCAGCATCACCGCAGACGTTATGCCCTTGTACCCACGCTTGCTTCCTTTAGCATGATAAATGTGCAAATGTGCTCTCCCCTATTGTTCCCCTATTGTTCCCCTATTGTTCGCTGTCATCCAAGCATAAGTGTAAAAGAGTATAAAATCAATGTCTTCCCTCTGCTCGAGACCGCATTCTAATGAGTGTGGTCCCTGCAGGTAAAATAAATCTCTCTCGATAATTCCAACCAGTCTCTGGTCTCGTCCGTAAAATCGCGCCATACAACACCAATGACATGAGCAGCATGTGGGTCACATCTGGGGCTGCATCCAGGCCATGTCCATGTGAGATCATTTGTATTCATGAATAACATTTTGGAGGTTCTCCCACTGCAGAAATCTCAGGAGTCCTGTGCAGTTATACAGATGCACTAATTTACATCAATGTCTCCTTTACATTTCGTTGCAAAAATTATGGATAATGGAAGGGATCCACTGTCAGAGCCAAGCAAAAAAATTGTCATGGAGGCTGTGCATTCTAGTGGGAATGGAACCAATAGTACAAGCCTTTTGCTTGGTCCATGGCTAGTGCTGGCAGACACAGTAGGAGACACCCATTTTTGTGTCTTATTACAAAAGCAAAAGAGGTTGTGCAGAGAAGCCATTGTGAAATATCCTCTGCTGTTGGATTCCTAGTTGCTCTGCCAGACACTGATCCTGCCTACTTAGTTGGGCTGAACAAAGCCTGTGTGCTGCAGAGGGCACACACCTGCAATCTTGTACCTGGTAGCGTCTCATACAGCAGCCTGCAAATCATGAGCTCTGGCTGACTCCGTATTCTTAGTGCCTGCATATGGTGCGCACCTGTACAGCACGTGTAAGTAAATGTAAAAGGAGATAATAAAAAACAACTTGCCAATTTTTACTCTAAAAGTTCTGGCAACCAGCTGACAAAATTGGCACGTACAGCAGAAAGAAAGAAAAAAGGGAAGAAAGACTAAAAAGAAAAGAAACCAGATGCCAAAGCACCTCTACCCCATCAGAAGAGGTTGTGCTCGCCTGCCTGCCTGCCTGCCTGCCTGCCTGCCTGCCTGCTTGTTTTGCCTTTGTTTTTTCTGCTCCCCTAAGCACAAACAAGCATCAGCTCCATACACATCAGAGGCAATTGTGTGGGGATCACCAGTGTGTGAGAAACCAATGCTTGATAGGCAGATGGTCAAACGGAGATTGCTATTTCATGCACCTCTACCTGGGTTTAGCCTCCATTAAACACAGTGAGACTTACCTATGAGTAAACTTGCCTAGGTTTGCTCAGTAAGTTATAAATTGCAGACTGATTCATCTGGAACAAGACAGTGTGATAAACTGTGCTCATATACTTAGGTATCAATCTACCCAAGCGTAGAAAGGTCCATATTTAACAGCTTCTCTAACAGAGGACAAGCTTTGCTGAGCCTATCCACTTTTGCTTCAGTATAGAAAAACATAGAAAACTTAGTCTAAGAGGCCCATGAACATTTGACAGCATAGATATTTTCCACCCAGCTTCTAAGGTGCAACCAGCAATTTTGGCAAGAGCTGACTTTTCTCATGTGTCAATTCTGTCCCCTTTTCCCCAATTGCTTTTCTATTTGTTCTAGATTTCCTGATACTTTATAAAATTGTGGATGGAAAACTAGTCTGGAATTCACTGTCCCTTGAGGCTGTTCAACTATCTCATCATTAAACAGGAGTCCAAAAGTAGTAGGTGTGGAATAATATAAAATATGTTTGAAATTTGCTGGCAGCAGATCATATGAGAAGGGTGTGTGTTGAAACTTTAAAATATTTGGCCTCTATCCCTAATTGCAGAGCTTTGCTTGAAGAAGGCCTTGGTCAATTGACTCATTTCTCCCAAACTGAAAGAGACTTGGTCTGTTTCTTCTTGTTTTGCTCTGCTCAAAAGGGAACAGTGATAAATTTTAGAAATATATTTAAAAAAAAAAATCTGGTACAATGATTTTAGTGCATGGATGCATTGCCAGAGTCATAAACAATGTCATGTGTAAACTGTTCTCTTGCTAAAGAAAGAAAGATCTACTGGAACCTGAAAACTACTGTGGAACTCCAACAGTACTAAAATTCTGCACCAAATGGTTTCCTGATAGCCTTCTATAGACTATCTGCTGAACCTGAAATGTTGTTCATTTCATGTACTTGTAGGATATAGGTAATATCTTCACACAATTGTGCTAAACAAGCAAAACAAAAACAAAAACGAGTAATCATTTGTTTTATGTTCACTTTTTACAAACCATGGTTTTATCTCTGTAATATGCAGTCCGTATTTTCTCGGCTTTGTGCTTTTGTTACTGGCTAGCAGGGTGTAAGTGCCTGGGTGCCTAAGTCTCCCTGTGTGCTGGCAAAAATAAAACAAAACAAAAGACTTCCTGTTAACAATGCTTTCCATTGGCTTCTTCCTTGTTATGGGTCAAGCTACATAGTACACCACACAGAACCTGCTGTCGACTGCAGAAACAGAAACCTGAATTGAATTGAATGATCCTGGGGCTGAACAGATGGATTTGAAAGTGCAGTTAACAATGCTTAGTGGTTTCACAGATACCAGCATTAAAATGGATGTGTGCATGGTAAGCAAAATATCCATTGGTTATAGGGAACTGTGGCTTCAATGCCTTATTTAGACCATTCTAAATACTCATAAGCAGCAAAACTGTCAAGAATGAATGAAAATAAGAAATCTGTGACAAGGTGCAACAGTGCAGAATTATTTCAAAAGGAAACTGCATTGAATTGCAAGCATTGGCTACAGCTGAAGGTGGTGTTGCCTTCATGCCAGGGGGCTTTCAGGTTACCACTTGCACCATGTTTGCAAAGAGGGGATGATCTAGCCACTGTCTCCAGCCTCTGCATGACTGCTGAATAGCTGCTTCAAGATTCCCAGGTGCAACAGAAGGCTGGAAGAGCAAGGAAACTGGAGAAATGAAGAAAGAGTGAGGCTGCAGATATGGAGGGAAGACGAGCAGGGAGGGGTTCACTGCAGTCAGCAGTGCAGGACTCTGCTTCCCTGGCACCAGCCTGTTTTAAAGTGGACCTAGGGCAACCGGGGCAGAGATGTCTCACTTAAGTTGTTGTCCTTGTTCCAAGCTCACCTCTGTCTATAGATTCTCCATCAGAGAACAAATGGAGATGGCCAAGTGGGTTGCTGAGAGCGCCCACCTGCTTGTCAGAACGTTTCACCCTGGCTACTCATGAGGAAGGGTGTAAAGGTCTACTTAGGAAAAGGAAAACAAGCTGTGGCTACTAATGAGGCAGAGTCGGGTGTAACGGGTGAACA